TTGAATGAAACCATCTGGTTACTTCATACAGATTTCTTTAATAAGGCTTCCCCTTTTTGAATGAAACACCTTCATCTCAGCCTTGCTTGGCAGCCTCTTTGTTTTGAACCCCTGCAAAGAATTAGCCACATGAACTGATGTGATCGCCATGAATCTGAAGAAATCTCAATTGCATTAGACTCAAAACAAACATGTACTTGATCAGTCTTACCTTTAGCCTTTTGTGTAACATCCCACATCAACCAATGGAGAGGGGGTGATGTGCCTTATATGTACATGCCCACCTCCATCTAGCACGAGACCTTTTGGGAGCTCACTAGCTTCGGATTCATGGGAACTCCGAAGTTAAGTGAGTTGGGGCTATATCAATCCCAAGATAGGTGACCTACTGGGAAGTTGATCGTGAGTTCCCAGAAATAAAACCGTGAGGGTAGAGAAGGGGGCCCAAAGCAGACAATATCGTGCTACGGCGGAGCGATCCTGGATGTGACATTTTGCTTATCCAACCAATGCTTGTACCTGTCACAATTGCTCTTCAAATGTCGAAACTTCTTGCAGAAATAACACTTGATCCCTTTGGGTTTTAGTCCCTTAGTTTCCTTTTCTTCCTTGTTTTTCTTTCCAGCAAAGTTGCCTTTTCCAAAATCCCTTTTGAAGCTCTGAATCATATTAATCTTTTCTTCAGCCTTATCTTTCTTCATATTTTGTTCTTCCTGCACACAGATGCTTATGAGATCAGTTACTGTCCACTTCTCCTTTTGAGCTACATATGAGATCATTTACTGTTTCACTAAATTTTGTGTTACTAAAATGTTTTTCCGAATATGCATATGATTGTGTGAAGGGGTTAAAAGGTATTTGAGTTAGTATTAGGACAAGAGTTTAGAGTTAGAATTGGATGGTTTTAAAATAGAAACAAAGAGATTTGATTAGAATGGAGAGAATGATTACGGGGCTTGGTTATATAGGACTGTAGGCTATGTTGCCTTCTAGTGGTTTAGCTCTTGGCTTCACAATTTGTGCTTGATTTGGTTACGTGGTGGGAGAGATCGTGTATGTATAGAATGTTGCCTGGTTCCCGTGTGGTCCCGGCAACTTGGGATATCTCCACCATTCTTAGCCACGTGTGTTTGTGGCTTGCACTACAATCTTCATTTGTGTTTATCGCTATTCTACCATGTTAATATCTGGAATATTCTGAGCTGAAGTATTTAAGAACATGAACCAAATAATAATATTACTTTTAGGCTTTAGGATATTGGTGAGACGTGAGAAAGATGTTATTTCTATACATGGCAAGGAGTTTGTAGTTCAAGTGATTAAGAGCATTTGCCATTGCATCTTACATCGTAGGTTTGATTCTCCCCTCTCTTAATATTGCTTTGGATTTTATTTTATTTTTTAAAGAATAATAAAAGATTCTTATGCTTGCTCTGTTATGGTTCTTATATACACCATACTAAAGATGACGGCAGTAGTTGGTTGTAGTAGTCCAGTAAGGGGAACCAAAAAGAAGAACTCCAATCTCCAGAGTTGCAACAACGGCATGAGAGAAACAAAGTAAACATAACGCCCATTGAAAGGCAGGAAGTGAAGGAGCGCACAGGCTCATGGAAGAAAGGAATAAAATGACGAGCTGACATACAAGTCAAAGGGACCTAGGAAACAACTTTAGGCACCTACGAAACATAACTCTACCTAGGAATCACCCTTTAGGTAGGATAAAGAGCATGCGATAAGTGAGAAAAGAAGTAGCCATGTAGAAAAATAAAAGTTCCCCCCCAAAAAAAAAAGTTACACCCATAGGAAGAGAGAAGTGGAAACAAAAGAAAATTTATCACATGTTAAGTAGAAAGGGATGTGTGCAAAGAAAGCAGAAGGAATATTTGAAGGGAATAATAGGGTTAAGAGAGGGTGGCACAGCAATATGGGATAGGAGGTGAAACCAACTTGGGACACAAAGAAAAGAAAAGGAGAGCATGGGCAAGTTTGAATTTCAAAGCAACATAGAAACAATAAAATAAGGTATGGGGAAGAAAACCACGTGGGAACAGAGAAGTGATAAAGAAAGGATCATCACAAGAGCATAGGGGCCCATAGAGATTAAAATAAAAAGAGATTATTGACCCAAAAAACAATAATAAGAAATAAAGAAAGAAACCAAGTGAGACAGAAATGAAAAGATAGTATGGGCAAAACACATAAAGAGAAAATCCTTTCAAAATAAAGATGGAAAAAGGAGAGAAAAAGAGGAGAAAATTGAACACTCATCAAAAGGAGAAAGTAGTCAAGAGAGGGAGAGAGAACACAAGATGCGAAGGAGCGCATGGGCTCATAGAAGGAAGGAAACTCAAGATGCTAGAAACAACCCATAACGGGGAGAGAGAAAACACAATTGAAAAGAAGAGAAGAAAACACCCCAATAATATAAAAGAATTATAAAGATACGAAGACAATACCAGTAACAGAGAAGAAGAAAGGCAGCGCAAAAGAACAGCGAGAGACAGAGACCAGTAGTAAAATCAAAGAAAGAGATTGGGTTTAAGAGGGGAGGAGAACACCGGTTGAGCAGAGATAGAGTGTGAGAGGCCGATACCAAAGCAACAACATAGAGATACCAAGTCGGCAACACAGTGATAAGGCTTGAGTGGTCGATACCAAGTCGGCAACACAGAGGAAGAAACAAGGGCTGTGCAAAGGGAATAGCGGCAGTGTAGCACAGCAAAGAAGGCTCGGCGAGCGTTGACGAGGCTCGCGAAGGAAAGAGAGACGGCTAGGTGAACGATATGGAAACCACGATAGAGAAACCATTAGAAAAACATGGAAGAGAGAAACCACAATCGTATACTAGGATAAAATCCGGCAAGCGTTGACAAGGCTTGCAGATGGAAGAGAGGCGGCGCGATGGAGACAAAGAAGTGGAGAGAGATTTCAAGAGAAAAAGGAAACAATGATAGA